CCCATTTCATGCTATCCAGGAGTTACCGCTACTCTGGGCTCCGCCCGTTTCTGAGACTAGTCTCTATGCTCCCTAGTTTTTTGTGTTCGTACACAACCGCTTCCAGTGCTGGTCCCATTCTGGGCCCGCACTTTGACCAGTACGTCGGGCTTTTACAGTCGGCCTACGTACTCCCCCTTTGCTCTACCACCGTCTTGATCTAGCGCGTGACACCTCTCGTTGGTCATCACCTCTTCCTCCAGCTAGCTCACAGCTGGCGACTGCCACTATACTGCGCATAGGACCGGACAAAACGCAGCCGATACACCTCAAAAGCGATCTACGAAGCTTCAAAACGACCCGCCGCAGCTGCTGAAGCCGGCTGCCTCTCCGAGCGCCACAACTTACGCTGCACACTACGCCAAGCTTTGCAGCTTCCAATTGATGGAGATATCGCCGCTCTAAACTGGCACTTTGCTCCCATCTATTTCGATATACTGGGAGCTTGCTCCGCCCGGACCGGGGGGAGGGAGGGGAATCGGAGAGAAGAGGTGAGGCAGGTGGTGCTCGTTACGGCGAAGAAAGAGGCGGAAAAAAAGGAAGGATTTCTGTTGCTGTTTGATCCGGGCGGGGTGGCTGTGTCGTGTCTGCGCGCGGCAATTCTGGAACCCATATTCGGAATTTTCCAGCAGCCCCTTGAGATTTGGTAGACTCATCGAAACGTGGAGCAGCGCGGGCTTTCGCCGCATGTCATCATCGCTCCCCTCATCTCCGCCATGCACGTCCCGCTCTTCGCGCTCGCTCCCGCTGCACTACCAACATCCCGCGCCCGCCACGGCGCGCTCTCCGCAGCGGCGACGAAGCGGTGCGGCGTGCGGCCGCGCGCGACGCGTCGCGTGCGCAGCTGCGCGGCGGAGGCTGCGCGGCCGGACTCGGTTCCGTCGCGGTCAGAGGTGCTCGATGTCGACCTGGTGGCCATCCCAATGACGACCGGCGGCGACGTGCTCTTCCCCGGCGGCTCGCAGCTGCTCAGTCTGGGCGCGGGCGACGCCGATCGCGTGCTGCAGGCAGTCGCGGGGAAGGAGCCGCCACAGTTTGCGTACCTACCCGTCAGCGCGTGGGGGGAGCCGTCGCAGGTCGGCACCATGGCAGTCGTGGACGATATGCAGATGCATCTTGAGGCCGGGGAGTCGTCCTTGTTGTGCACTGGCGTCAGCCGTTTCCGCGTCGTGCATCTTAGCGCCGATATGCACACGGCCCGCGTCGAGCTGTTTTGGGATGATGAGCCGCCCGAGGAGGCCGTGGAGGAGCTGGAGCAGTTGGAGAATAAGCTTATTGAGACGATGAAGCAGATTGTCAGGTTGAGCATCAAGCTGAGTGAGGGCGGCGACAAGCAGAGGCAGGCGGCGTTGTCGGAGACTTTGAAGCGCATGCAGGCTTTTTGCGGAGAAGTTGAAGAGGAGGAGGGAAAGAAGTTGCTGCAGCACTGGATTCTGGAGCTGGGCCCCAAGTTGAGAAGGGAGTTGCTTAGCTTCATCGTCATTGATCTCGTCAGTATCAGCTTTATGGATAGGAGAAATCTTATGATGTCCACCGACACTGCTAACCGACTTGCAGAAGCACTGCGTTCTCTCGCGCCTTTTGTCAAAGAGCTTGCCGCAAAAGGCGCCATCGTATCCGCCTTGGGACCCAACGCCCCGGGCGATGACGATGCTCTGCCCTGAGCACCTTACCTTCTTTCACTTTTTCTTATTTTTCGCTTTCCACATCCGCCCAACTCTGTTTACCGTTTTTTGGGGACATCATCCTATTCACGATATCGAAACCATTTGCTTGCAAACGCCCTCCTCCTTGCCGAGCTTGCCCAAGTTAGCTTGCGCCTCTTCCGGCAGCCGCCTTCCCAGTCGCTCCAGCAGCGCGCCCAGCTTTTCTCTAAAGGCGTAGTCCTCCTCAGCCGCGTCTCGCACCTCTTGTTGCACCCTGAGGCACAGGTCCACCACCATATCCACGGCCGCGGCGTCGCTCGCGCCCTCCTCACCCAGCGACCCAGTCACCGCCCGAGTCCCCCGCACGCACGCCTCCATCACATCCGTCCGGTGCAGCACCCGGCACTCGTCCTCAGCCGCCGCGCGCGCGCCCTCCCACCACGCGCCGAACACGGGCCCGCGCACAAACCTTGAGTACAAGTCGCGCGCCCTGCTGCTCGGCGCGGCGCCAAAGCGAAACAGCGCCGCTACGCCCGGCGACGTCAGGTCCTGCATTGTCGGAAACGCGGCCGCGTCCAACTCCAGCAGCCCCAGCTTCCTCCCGAACGGGTCCGACGCGTACGGCTCCGCCGTCACCGCCTCCCCACCGCCCCATGTCGGCACCAAGTACCGGTTGAAAGCCCGCAGAAACGGGCGCGTAATCTTGTCAAAAACGCACGCGCGCACCTCGCCCGCCTTTCCCTCCGCCGTGCCGTCCTTCCTGCCCGCCGCCGCGCGCACCGCCGCGCCCATCAGCCCCGTCAGCGTCCGCGACTTGCGCAGCGACCTCTGATGCGTGCTCACCAGCCCCGCCTTCCTGCGCTTCCCCACGCCGGGCACGGCGGGCAGCCTGAGCACGTGCGCAAACCCGAGCGTGTCAACG